TAGTTTCTCCTGGATGTAGCTCTCTCCTTGCATGTATAGTGCTTTCTATGTTGAATGAAACGGATGAAAACTTCCCCCTGCCACACATTTTCTAACAGAACTGCAAGAAGCTAATTAGTAAGCGTGGTTGAGAGAAAGGAAAGTCACCTTCCCCCTTCCCAGAAACTGCAAGCTTTAGTAAGCAGAATGTACAGTAAAGCTTATAATCAGCAGAAGCAGCTAGACTTTCCAAATGAACAGGGGTTCCTCTGAAGTAACAAATTTCATTTATTCTCTTGGGAAACATGGGCAGGATTTTACAGTGTATAACTGGAAGGAGAGTACTAAAAGCATGAGTAAGTGGGATTACACCCCCACTAACTCTTGCAGCCATCAGGTGTAAAGCTCAGGTGATGCTTCTAGCTTTTCTGTGTTTTACTTGTATGTGCCAAAGTTCATTCTAAACTATGGGGTAGGGCTTGGGGGAGGAAGGAGAGAGAAAGTCAGGCCTCCCCAGAGTACATTAAGATTAACCTGCCTTCAGAAGATGATGACATGTTTTTTAGCTTCATTAACAAAGTCACTATAGGATTTAGCTGCCTAACAGGCATGGGAGAAAAATACTACACCTTGATACTGGTGCCAAGACTCTAAGAGATATGTATTCTGTTGCTAAAACAGATGAGGTAAGCGCATAGCTGTTCCACCCCAGGACAGAAAACTACCTCCTTGTCTCCAGCATTGTGGGTGGGATCTCTCTGGCCTACCAACTCTTCTGCTTCCCTAAACGTGGCCTTTCCAAGAACACAAGTCTGCACATCCCAAATCTTGCTTCTTGGTATGATCTGAGAGCTTAAATTACACTGTAGCTTTGAATGGCACTAGGTTCCAGCAGAAGCTTCTGCCAGAAAACAGTTACTCTCTCTATGCAGAAAATCTACTTTCCTCGAAGAAGAGACATGAAAAAGCAAAAGGTAAGCACAAGTGAAGGAAACTCTCCCTGGTGCCTATACGATGCTGGTAAGAGTCACAGCACTGGCTCCGGGTCATCAAATATGTAACAAGACACAGACACTATGGGCACAGACAGAAGTGACGTTTTGTTGCATGATCACCCCCCTGAAAGTGCTCTACAGCTGCGCCCTAACAGAAGTGTCAGCTGCAGAGTGCTTTAAAAGTGCCTGAGTGCATAACAAATTAACCCCTGAAGGAGTTGGGGGCGGGGGTATTGCTGTAATTCATGTAGCTTCCTGTGAAGCACCGTGAGTTACAGTGGGGAGCTGCACTTCTGTCAACACCCTATAAAGCAGGGTGGATAAAGACCAACATTTTTTTTTAAATTGTATTTTTAATGTAAATCAGATTATTATTTAATCATATTTTAATTTTTTTGTTAAAATGCTTTTTTCTTTTAAAATAAATTTAATTTAAAACTATATAGGTTTTTTTAAGATACGTTAAAGCTCAAAGATATCATCATGGAATAGGGCCTATAGCTTCTAATTATATACTATTTAAGACAATATATTCATGCAACCTTTTTAGAAAAGTTTTATAAATAGGTCACAACAAGCCATGAACTATAATGGGGGCCCAATCTTGTGGGGTTCCCAGAGGCTCCTCTATAGATTAGGAAAGATGAAAGAAAACCACTCTACCCAATGGGACTCGGTGCTCAGTCTAGAAGAGCTCATTAAGCATCTCTGTGATGCTTAATTTCAGTTCTCAAACTGTGGATTTGTGTCTTCAGAAATAACATCCTTGTTAGCAGCAGTGTATAGAGATGAGAAAGAACAGACACGATTACCCACCCATCAGCCCTCTTGTCTCTGCAAGTTTGTGTACACAGAGTCAAGCCCTTACCTCTCTCTAAAAGTGTGAAGTTTCAAAAAATTAAATGAATAAAAAGGATATCAAACAACAAGAATGCACTTTTAATAGAAAACAATGCTTAAATTAAGGCTTCCTGACCAGTGATTTAAATTATGATTTAAATCAGGAATTAAAGCGACTGATTTAAACAAAATCCACCCTGCTATAGTCTATGCCAGCACCCAAAAATGCCTTCCAAAAGGAGGTTCTGAGGGGCAGCTGACCAAGAGCCATGCAGAGGTGGCACTAATAACATGCAACTTATCCACGCACACAGAAGCAGATCCATCCTAACTCTGATTTCTTTACAGAAACCTTGCATGGACTTTACTAAGTTTTGGCACAAAGAGAGGTGCATTCTACCCTCTGAGCGAAGCATCTTAGGAAACCCTAGGTTCCCACAACATATCTATTTCTTTACTATTACTGACAGAATATGGAAAAGGTGGTTGTTGAACCTGCGCAACCCAGGGCTCCCATAACTTGCTAGTAACTATTTTATACACGAACGCACTCCCTGCAAAAGTTCAAAATGTGCTTATTACGAAATATTTATAAAGAACTGGCCCACAACAGTAAAAATTGATACACTAAGAATTGCACACTTGGAAGCAGTCCTAGTGAAGATGACTATAGCAGACAACATAACAACATATTTCCAAAAGAAGCGTAAAGTTGATCAACTACATAAGCCGGTAAATTGTATAGAAGCTCAGTGCAAGTTGTTCACACGGCGAAGAAGTTGCTGAATATTTTTACAAAGATTTTTCATGAGGAAGAAAACCTTGGTAGCTTGGTCTATTCTGAAATTAAAAGAGAATTAACATCATTTTTTTCTTTGAATTCTGTTTTCTTTGAGTACTGTTTCTTGTTTTATGCTGGCACGTAAAAACAGAATGTGTTTAAAATCCTTGGACACTTTCTCTGGAAGAACTGCCAAGTCCAAGCAGATATTCTGCAGGCAGTGTTCTGTTCTAGCTCCCATTTCCAGTAGGGACTGTTGCCTCCATATTCAAATGGAAATAGCCCTTGCTGGCTGAATTGCAAGCATATTTGGTCTTTGATAGGTTTCTCTCTGCTTGCTTGTTTAAGCGAGGCCACTGGATTTATGTAATTAATAAATTAATTTCAAGATAATTCTGCCAGAAGGTATTTTTGACACTTCTCTAGAAGATTCACGAGTAAACGAGACAAGCTGCATGTTGAACCCGAAGGTCCCGAGCAAGCATTTTTCTATTAACACCACCTCTCCTTTAGTCCTTTGATATCAACAATCACACACCAGCAAAGCACCAAAATCAACTAGGATTAACCATGAAAAACTTCATGTAAAGAACTACCAAAACATTGTGAAAATTTCTAAACAATAAAACCCTAGTTTAACAACAGTAACGTGTTAACTTCAGAAAAGATTAAGAAATACACAAACAAAATGTCAAAAAACATTCTGGAAAATTCTCTCCAATTTGCCACCAGCAGACACGTTCCTTTTTTTGGTTCAACAGTCCAAGGTGTAAAAACCAGTGTTCCACTAGATGGAGCAGGATGGTAAAACCATCGCAAAGGCCATTCCTGACTTCTGACTCAGCACAAAGTTCAATGTCCTACAACAAGGAACGACCAGAAAAATATGGTTTTCACTTTTCTCCCATGTTTTCATATTAAGCAAAATCCAGAAGAGCTTTTTTCATTCTGGCAAAGAGCCTTGTGACAGAGGAAGTACGAGGTCCTAGCACCAGCTGTTACTTCCGTTAGCAGAAATAGCAAGGTAACCAAATGCTACAAGAATGAAATGGGGTTTTTAAAAGGTTGGGTTTTTTGGGTGGTTTTTTGTTTGTTTGTTTGGGGTTTTTTGTTTTTTGTTTGTTTTTACACATTAGAGAGACAACACTAAAGGGCATAATTTGCTTATTAAACAAAACTGCAAACTCATTAGCATTTCTTACATTGTAATACATTCACTTGCAAAGAAATCTGTGTTAAATAACCACAGACAGAATTGGGGGACGGGGGAGGAGAGTCCCTTAATGAAAGGTTCCAGGTACAGGTCAAGCAAAATCAAGTTAGCAATGATATAAACTTTGAAGTGGTTTCTTAAGACTTGGAACTCCAAGAGTCATAGTAAATAAGGACCTTGCACTTCTGTCACATGGCTCTTTGCCAGAATGGAAAAAGCTCTTCTGGATTTTGCTTAATATGAAAACCTGGGAGAAAAGTGAAAACCATATTTCCCTTTAGAAGTTTCCCTTTAGATTCACTTTTGTTCTGAAGTAAACCAAACCACGTATATCCTACTTGACCTGTGAAAGGCCTACTATAACTTGTAAAAGATCCAGTCTTAAACATTCAACCGCCAGTAAACCAGAGCTCATGAAATGCATCTCACAAACGCATCTTCAGAAACACTATGCTTGTTTCACAGACTCCAACATGGCCAGTTGGTAGTTGTTAACCGTTACTTTCTACTCCCCCAATGCTTTCATTGTACACCTGAGATGCAATATTAACCATCTTCACAAACAGACCAGTAAAAAACAAACTTCTAAACTACCTGTATGTGAATAAGAATTGTAATATGTATCTAGGTCTCTTCAGATGCCCCCAATTATCATAGTGGACAATAATATAACAGGGGAAAGGAGCAGTACATATTCTGGAACGCACAAACACAATGGGTCCCTGCCTGTCACCTATGGATCAAGGACTGGCCAAGAGGCTGGCTCCATTCTCCTTGTTTTCAGCTGCTAAAATAAACTAAAACCCCACAGACAATAAAGCTTCCCCAGTATGATTTTTCCAAAGACAATTACTTATTTCACAGATGTTCTTTGATTGCTAGTGGGAAAGGACACAGTCTGACTGTTACTGTACAGGGGGGGAAGGTTGTCTTTTGGGGCACTTAAAGATGTGGGCAATCTCACGAACAAAAAAGATTCTCCTGTTGAGACCACTACAAGGTAGCTCCAGGGTTTTCAGAACACCTGGCACCTGATTTTTTTCCGGTTCTCCAAAAGACAGGTGTCATGCATGATAAACATTTTTCAACGGTACAGAAGTTGTGAACATTCAGAAGTGAATTATATAATTTTCAATCCTTTAAGAAATTTGCAGCTTATGACAGTATATAGCAGAACAGAAGTACTACTTACTACTGTGCACAATCAATCAACTGATATTCATTAGACCTCTCGTAGCAGGCTTTCACACCTTCATCTTGCCAAAGTGTTTTTGTATGTTCATAAAACTCCTGAAAATAAAACATAATGAAAAAAATCAGCAAGAAAAGGATGTACATGCAAAATAAATAAAACAAAACAAACCCCCTCCAAGTATAAATGGCAAATGCTTAGGGCTAACTTTAGACCTACACAATAAAACATCTTTACAAAATCTTTTGATCATAAGTACCACCAGATTTCTACAGTATCTTGAGCTTGTTCTAACAGTTGTAAGTTCTCTGGGCAAGCACAATGCTCTCATATCTGCACAATTCTGATCCCCTTGGTAGTACTTCTTAAGTAACACTGACTTTCAGGCTGTGGACGTGAAGAAATAAGGACCTAAGATAAAACTTCCTTACATGCTTAAGTAATTTAACCTAAGTGACTTAAGGGTTCCATTAACTTTTAATCACCAAAACTATTTTTTTTTAAATACAACTTTGGTTCACAACTGATTTTGATGCTTCTAACTTATATTACGGATAACATATTAATTACTATCAGAAAACAATAATTACAGGTAATTTTTTTTCAAACACATGCCTAAAAACAAAAACTCAAAGTATGATTCTCTAGAAGAGTTTTTAAATATTTGTAAAACACTGAATGTTATCTAACGATATCTTTGTGAATTCTCATTCCTATAAAAAGTGTGGTGGGAGCAGTTAGAAAGGTGGAACAAAAGATGTCACAAAAATATGAGAATACAAATAGACTTCTGAAAACTGGTCCTCGCATCCTGAATATCTAAACACAGTACTTGTGGGACACTATCCCAATACTGCATAGTCCAACTAGCTAAATTAATACTTAGAAAAATGCACACACTGCACTAGACATTTCTCAAATCCAAAGAGTAAGAAAAAAATACATTAAAGAAATCCCATGCACAAAATTTGACCTAAAGAAGAATTTTTTTTTTTTTTTTAAATCTATAAATTTATTAAAAATAAAAAAACAGAATGCCTTTAGGATCTCAGTACACTTTGATTATATAAGGAAACATGCATCTATAAACTCCAATTCTACAAGAAGGAGATAAGAAATGATGGGTAACACAGATGCTATATTAGGTAACAAGTAGGTGATGTTGCAGATACCCCAAAACTTCTAAAAAAAAAAAAAAAAAAAAAAAAACACTTATAAAAAAGGTTAAACAGTAACATCCATCCCACCACAAAACGGAAACATAATTCACTGGAAAATTATGTTGTTTTAAACCACTGATGGTTCTTTCAGAGCAGTGGTTCTCAACCTTTGTGGACTCGAAGCAACCCTCTATAACTTCTGTGAATTCAGTGGCACCCAATTTCAAAAGCTAATTGATATATTACAGCGCTTATCTCCTTGCACTGAGGTTGGATAGTGGTGGTGGGGAAGGTAGGCGAGGTGGGAGATTCATGCGGGTAGGGTCAAGCCCAACCCTGCATTTATTTAGCTCATCTCCTCATTACCTGGCTCACACCTTCTAGCACTCTTAAAAGGCTGATTCTCAACCGGCACCCTGGTTGAGAATCACCGTTTTTGAGTATGATGCAGAAATACAAGTAGCCTTTCAGTTACCTATCCAGTCTATTTCTTAAAAATAAAAGAAGATAAAATAAACATAAGGGACTGTGTTAACGTTCCCAACATGATTACTTTCGTTGCTGGTTAGTAACCACTTCAAACAAGTCTTCCAAAACAGTTCAGTGCTCCACTTTGGAGAGCTTCTAATAATCACAGAAAATTAGAGTAGGAAGGGACCTCGGGAATTCATTTAGTCCAACCCCCTGCTCAAAGGAGGACCATCCCCAACTAGATCATCCCAGCCAAGACTTTGTCTACCTGGATCTTAAAAATCTCCAAGGACGGAGAGTCCACCACTTCTCTGGGTAACCCATTCCAGTGTTTTGCTACCCTCCTAGTGAGAAAATTCTTCCTAATATTTAAACTCAACTTCTTTTGCTGCAACTTGAGCCCATTGCTCCTTGTTCTTTCATCTGCCACCACTGAAAACAGTCCAACTCCAACCTCTTTCAAAACGCCCTTCAAGTAGTTAAAGGCTGCTATTAAATCCCCTCTCAGTCTTCTCTTTTCCAGACTAAATCAGCCCAGTTCCCTCAGCCTCTCTTCACAAATCATGTGCCCCAGCCCCCTAACCATTTTTGCTGCCCTCCACAGGACTCTCCAATTTGTCCACATCCTTTCTGTAGAGGGGGGCCCAAAACTGGAAACAGTACTCCAGATGTGGCCTCACCAATGCAAAACAGAGGAGAATAATCACTTCCCTTGACCTGATGGCAATACTCCCACCAATGCAGCCCAGCATGCCAGCTTTCCTGGCAAGAAGGGCACACTGTTGGCTCATATTCGCCTTATTGTCCACTGTAACCCCCAAGTCCTTTGCTGCAGAGCTGCTGCCCAGGCAGTACCAGTGCATGAGATTGTTCTATCCCAAGTACAGAATTTTGCACTTGTCCTTGTTGAACCCCATGAGATTTCTTTTGGCCCAATCCTCCAATTTGTCTAAGTCCCTCTGAATCCTAGTCCTACCCACCAGCGTATCTACTACTCCCCCCAGCTTGATGTTATCTGAAAACTTCTTGACACAAGTAGTAAGATCTTGTACTTTCTATGTGTGTGGATGCTGAAAAAGAATCAAAGCTGAATATCTACTTGAACACTAAAAGCTAAAAAAAATAATTCAGACTCTAAAATGCACAGGCAATCTCTTTCTAACGTAGTACTCTTCTGTAACAGGAAGACTGCAATTCTAAAGTTCCTCAAGTTCATCCTTTGATGAATAAGTCACTTCAAAACATATACCAAACTGACATACTTTGGGTTGTACTTGAAGACTGTACATAAGTTTAAGTTTGAGAAGAAAGCAGACACCAACTTGCTGAGCAAAACAGGCCAAAGGAGAAAAATACTGCTTGTACTGGCTTCCTGTTCACTTCAAGGTGCAATTCAACACATTCACCACCTCAAGGTTACCATATTTTTTGCATATAACCTCCCCCTGGAGTATAAGACACACCCTGTTTTTGAAAGGCAGAATGAATAAAAAGATTTTTCCAGAAAATAGCAGGAGAGAGACAAGCAGCAGCTAGAAGCAGCAAAACTGCCCTACGAAAGGTTAGCTTGATTAGTGCAACATCAAGACGGTTAAAAGGAGAAACTATTTTAACACCCCTGAAGTGAAGAACAATGAGCTATTAAGTCTACTGACTCTAGCAGCTGCTTGAATAGTAATGTCACAAACAGAAAAATCAGTTTCTCACTTAATATATATATGCCACAACATTGGGGAGCTGATTTTTAGGGAAAAAGGTGCATGAGTGATTAAGAAAATATGGTATATGCCTCCAAGCCACGATACTGTTGGCTAGAATACCATTATAACTCTAGATATGGGCGACAGAGAGATCTTGTTTAAAGGACCTTACACTTATATAAGTATGTATATACTTAGTTTGTACGCATACTATGAACAGATTAGGAGCTAGACATGGGGTGGAGTAATTTATTCATCCAATAACATTTATCTAACATTTCCCCCCCCAATGTTTCTATATATTCATGACCAATGAGCTAATTTATATAGAAATAGAAGGATTATGGCTCCAGGATGTTCACTTACTCTACCTTCTGAAGGTAAAATATTTAACAAATTTAAAAAGAATTTTAAATTTAGCATACACACCGACTCTCAAACTCCCCAAATCTGCTTATCATAGAAGTATTTACTTTATCCTTTTTCTCATTTGAAGGTAATACATTGGCCAAATTTAAGATCTGCTTATAGTTCTGGAAATGTCAGCATCCCACTTACAGACTTTAAAAATTAAAAACACAAAATGTTTTTCTTTAATTAGATTGATAAAGACCTGATTAATATAAGGGTACTTCTTTTTCATGTTCCAAAGTGGAGATCATTGGAAGGAATCCCAAGAATTATATTACCAAAGTACATTACATTTTTAATGTCCATCGCCCACCTATCTTTAATTTTTACAACAATTACACCATACTAGATCTACAGATGCTATGCCCTAATAAAGAGCTAGGTATTATTATTGAGCTATTCTTCACTATTGCAGCTATGTTCCTTGAAAAGTCTTATAATCAAACTCATACACCATGGAGGGCTCTATATTTTGCTGTTCTTGCAACACATTTATAAAAATACTATTGCAAAAATGCATTTTCTGCATGGGAAAAACGTTTTAGAATCAGCAACCTCACATGTGTTGTATCTAATTATGTTTCTGGCCAACAGTCCAACAAAAAGGATTTTCAAATAAGCTTAGAAAAAAAAATTTCAGCAGCTTAGTAACTTAAGTATACAAACCGCTGCACACACTACTGTTATCAATGACCATGGGCTTTTCTTGGCTAGATCTCAGAGCTTTTAAGTGGTTTGGGCTAAATATCCTTATAAGTGTTATTCACTAGCTCAGGCTACATGTTCCTGGTCACCTTTTAAATAACTACTACATATATTTTTTATTTAATTACATTTTCCCTATTTTTTTTAAAAGGAAAGGAAATGACTTCGGGAGCCCTGCCACGTCTGAAGACACCATGGCTTGGAAGTCTCCATAGGAGCTCAGTGATAGGAATGGCAGTGTTGTCTTATGAGCATAATAGCCCTGTTTCAGGGGCATACTGAACATGGTAGGTTAGTCTACTTCCTCTGGCTAGCCAGAAAGGAGCCATGTCCTAATACAATTTATAAAGTTCTGCTTAAAAGCCACCACACATGACAGAACTATCTATGTCTATGTCTGCTCCTACACATAAGTTTAGCAATCCAGATTTTCAGAATTTCCCATATTATTTATAGAAATCATCTGTATGTTTGCTCTGAAGGATCATATAGTTGTGTGAAGCCTATATACAAATGGCCTGTTAGACAACTGTTCATTTGAGCACATCTTTATTGCTACAGGTATTAAATCATGATGGCTATATATGTAAGGTATGCAAATATAAACTCACTTGTACTTTCTCTACAATGAAATTCTCTTCTAAACATTTT